AGGATTCTATGGCAAAGACCAAGGAAGAAAGGGAAAAGGATTGTAGATTCTAGGGCTTCTAGAAGAGGGGGAGGCGCCACTTTTGTAGGGTTTCTAGAAATAATGTGTTTTGTGGCAAAAATTGGACTTTTAGAAGGGATAAAGGGTGCGACACCTATTTAGGAGGAGATAGGGTCTTCTAGAACCATATATTTAGGTGTATTAATGTCAAATTAAGTCCTTTTTGCAGCAGGAATTAAGGTAGCAAAAGATTAGGATAGGATCAAATGAGATAAGGTTGGATAAGATAAGATTGGATAGGATAAGGTTGGATAATGTTCCTTATTTGCTCGTTCCTTATCCTCTTTGTTTTTGAACTTCTTTCTCTAGATTTGTAATTTTTCCTAGCCTCTCTTGACTTCAATTTCCCATCCACTTTGCTCCATAGTTAAGCTATCCAATCCATGCCCAAAACTGCTCTAAATAGCTCCAAAATGCACTTTCTTGCTCCTTTTGCCATTAGGACCTAAAAACATACGAAAATAGCTCAAAAGACTAAAATAAATAGTAATTAACTAACTAAATGCAAGGAAACAACATAACTAAGTAGCATAAATATGCTCCTATCAATTTTCGTGGGATTTTATCACCTATCACTTTTAAAGTTGTTTCTCACTGTTTTTAAGTGTTTTTAGTGTGTTTTGAAGTGTTTTTATATGTCTTAAATGGAAAATCCGAAAATTTGAAAAAGAAAAAAAAAAAATCAAAACAAGTGTTTAAAAAAAGAAAACAAAAAAGAGTCGTTTTTAGCGTCGTTTTTGTTTTTATGTTTGTTTGTGTCTTAGGATACCTTCCAACACAATGATGAGGATTTGGTTTTTAATTGCATGACTATTAAAGAAAGTTACAAACATGGATGAAAGTTTGATTTACTCGTTGGTTTATGCATAGTTGTAGTTGTCGTTTACAAATTCACATGTAATCAAAAAAGAAAAAAAAATTCAGTTTTTGTAACATGTTTGAAGGACGAAACTCAAACTAACACTACAACCTTGAGAGACATGAGCCTAAACTTTATTTGGAGAGTTATTAATCTGAGATATTTTTGTTTTCTAAAGTCATTGCATGATCTCATTATTTCTTTGCTTGGTTGTTACTTAGAATGCGTTTCATCACTATAGTTCCAAATACTAGAACTCATGCCAATTTCATTCAAAGCATAAAATTGAGTGCATAACATAAAACAAGATGAAGTTGTTTAGTTAAAACCAGAGCCAAAAAGCCCTACCCTTTGCATATGTATTGTAGGTTTAACCCTTTGAGCCTTAGTTAGCCTATTTTCTTTGTTAGCCACATTATCCTTACCTAGCCTAGAATAAGACTATCCATACCCTTGTTCTTAAAGTATAGTGGAGCATGATTTAGAGGGAACCCCTTTTGATCTACAATTTGTAGAAAAACAAGTGTCGGGGAAGATTTCTTCATTGGAATTCTATGAGGTTGTACGTGTAGTGTGCCAAAAGAGGGAAAAAAAAAACGTGAAAAAGGAAGAACAAAGAAGAAAAATGTTGAAGAAAAGAAAGAAAAAGAGTTGACAATAAGTGAGAATGAACTCACAAGTATTGGTTGTTGAAGAAAGGGTCCAAAAGTTTGAATTTGGTCCTAAGTGTTGTGTGAATCTTCCCTTCGTGTTTAAAGTTGATTTTTGCATTCAAAAGTGAATTCTAAGTGCTTATTTCATTACTCTGCTTACTATTGCTTTAAGAACTTTTGTTTATCCTTACCTTTCCTTGTTAGCCAATACCTTAGCCCCATTACAACCCTTAGACTTCGATCTTGATTGTTATGTGTTTCAATATGTGGAATTTAAAATTGGTATGAGCATATGGGATCCCTGGTTCTCGCGTCTAAGTAGTGGCATTCTATTCATGTGATCATATACATGTTGTGTTAATAATTCCATAAAGTGCTTCTTTGATTATAACATATGTGAGTGTTAGTCTACATGTTTACATCAATCTTCTCACATATACCTAGTGTAGGGAGTGTAGTCAGAAAATTTGTGAGAAAATAGAGAGTATATCTGGTGAGGAATTAAGGGATTCTCTAAGGCATGTTACATTCAAAATGTTGTTTTGATTGATTAAATGCGAGCTAGTGAGTGATGACTACGGCTAAGTATATGCCCGAGGGTAGGGATTGCTAAAATCTGTGGGAGTAGTGATTTTTAACGTGTCATGTTGCATTGGAAACCCCTAAGGCAATTGTTGGAAGGTTTAGGTTGTGTTTTGTTTTCTTTGTTTTGCTCGAGGACTAGCAAAAGCTAAGTGTGGGGGAATTTGATAGGAGCATATTTGTGCGACTTAGTTAGATTGTTTTCTTGCATTTACATAGTTAGTTTCTATTTATTATAGTTATTTAAGCTATTTTCGTATGTTTATAGGTTTATATGACAAAGTTGGCAAGAAAGTGCAATTTGGAGCATTTTAGAGTAGTTTTGGGCTTGGAATGGATTGCACATGCATGAAGCAAGGTGGATGGACGAATTTGAAGATCAAAAGAGGCTAGGAACATGCTACAAATTTGGAGAAATAAATTCAAGACAAAGAAGATAAGGAAAGAGCAAGAAACATGGAGCATTATCCAAACAACCTTACCTTATCCAAACAACCTTACCTTATCCAAACCTTATCCAACCTTATCTTATCTTATCCTATCCTAATCTTTTCCTACCTTAATTCCAACTGCAAAGAGGACTCCTTTTCACATTAAATCACCTAAATATCAGGTTCTAGAAGCCCTATTTTTGTGCCCAAAGTTTATGCCACATTAACCCTTCTAAAAGTTCTAGAATCTGCCACAAGGACCATTCCTTGTCCTCTCTAGAATCTGATTGAAAGTGTCCTTGTTCTTTGGTGATTTGGAGTCCTAATTCCCCTCTTTTTCAGCCCAATTTCATGCCTTCCCTTCTCCCTATAAATACATGATGTTGCAGCACTCATAAGACACCACCCTCTACCACAATTTCACACCACACCATCCACCACACCTCAAGGGCCTAAATTCAGAAAATTTCCTCTAGTGCTGCAGCTTTGCAAGGAGAAAGGAGAGGAGAGCTTTAGCCGTGCCATCACATTCAAGTTTGGATTGCTGGAACGTCCCAGGTGTATTCTATCTTTTGCTTTCAATGTTTAATTTATTCTATCTTTGTTTAAGTGCGAACATGAGAAGCTAAACTTGTTTTAGTTAGAGGTGGATGCAAAGCCATGAATATATATGTGATATGAATGGATTTCTTCTAGTTATTGTTTCGTAAAACATGAATGCGATTTACTTATCTGTTTGATTGATAACTTATTCTTCTATGTTGATTAAGGGTGCACACTTAGTTTGCATGCATGAATTTGATGGTAGAATATAAGGGATTTTCACCTAATAGTTATGAACTTATATTTATAAGTAGTGGAGGTTGCTAGTCATAATCGTGTTAAGTAAGTCCATGGTAGGAGTATTATGCAGCTTATAGTTATGAATGTCATGTCAATGCTTATGATTTTCACAAAGCTTAATGATCTTTGATTGTATCTCTATTATGATGTTTATGTAGGGAACTTGATAAAAATAATTTGGTTGCCGATGCGTATTCCATCCAATTCAATGAATTTAGGAAAATCTGAAAGTTAATTTGTGCTTTTCACGATTAATTTGGGGCATTGTCATTCATGGTTTAAAGGAATAATAACTGGAAATTGATTTGTATGCATATGTGTCATGTGTGGAGATAAACCCTCTAGCTAGCCATTCACCCATATTTCACCCAATTTCATCCAAGTTGTTTAGAGTCTTTAAAATCTATTTGTTTTTAACTTAATTTCGTCCAAAATCCATTCCCCCTTTACTTTGTTGTGTCAAATTAGTTAAAATCTGTCCAAATTTGTGTTTTTAAGTATTTTGAGTCAAGTTAAAAGTAATTTTTGTCCAAATGATCTTTTATTGTCTAGTTTGAGTCTATTTGATTATGTTGTGCTGTTTTGAGTCTTTCTAGTTTGTTTTGAGTCATAAGAGTCTAGTTTTCTGTTTTTGAGTCTAATTTTGTATTTTAAAGTTTAATTTGAGTAGATTAGCATCTCTTCTAATCCCCGGCCTAAAACGATCCCCACTTACACATACTACAATTATAGGATTTAATTTGAGTGTTAGAAACTATCACACCAATGTTTAGGAAGGTGCACGTCAATATCCCGCTCCTTGATTTATAATTTCCATTATTGCAGAGGTATACATGTATAATTTCCTTTCTTATTTCAAAATAGGCAATAGATCAAAGCAATCCTAACTATTAAAATGGTTTAATCTAAGGGTATATTGTGGAAAGATGACATTCATCTAAAACCTCCAGCCGAGTTCTTCGATGATAAATCACGTTTCTATCCTAGAAAAAGATTCGGTATCCATCCAAAATCTCCAGCTGAGTTCGACAATGACAAATCACGTCTCCATCGTAGAAAAAGACACGGTATATATATATATATATATATATATATATATATATATATATATATATATATATATATATATATCTATATATATAAAGGGAGAGCCCCAGTTTGGTGAAGCTTTTCAAAATGCCAAAAAAGCCCCTTTGTTTTCTTCACAATCCAAATCCACAAAAATTCAAAAAAGAAGGACAAAGTGGTAAAAAAACCATAACTGGAAGAGAGAGCATCAAAGCGGAAGTTGCAGGATAAGGAATGAGAATTGCAAACGTGGGATTCAAACAACCCTCCACGTTCTACGAACTACCAACCAGATCAAAGCCGGCACCTCGATTTCAATTCCTATTCTTTCACATCCTTCCCCCTCACTCCCAACACCATCTCCACTCCCTCTCTCGCTCTCTCTAAAATCTAAAATTAAATCACGGTGTGTTTCTGACTGCAGGGAAGAGGAATTCTCGAAATTTAGCTTTGCGCAGGCAAAGTGTGGGCTTTGAGAGCGAGCCAAAACTATCTAGCGATTCGATGGAATCGGAGAAGGAATTTCCAGGGTTGAACCAGAGCCTGTACTCGACTATTGAACCTACCCTCTAGAGAAAAGCTTGACGGAGCCGAAACCGTGACCAACCGTCATCCGCTTTCTCCCATAACATCATACGCTTATTCTCGCAACTCTCCTCGCAGTCCACACCGTACGATCAATCTCTCTCTTTATTTATTTATTTTTCATAAATTTAATGATGATGTTCTATGGCGAGATTCAAGTGGGTTTAATGCTCCTGATTAGTTTTAATTTCATCAGGGATGCCTTCGGCATTGCGTTCGACATCGACGGCGTCGTTTTACGAAACGAAGCTCCCATCGGAGGCTCTCCTCGGGCCTTCATAAGATTGTACGACGATTCTGGTACCCCCATTTCTTATACCCATCTCCCAATTTTTGATCTTTCTGGGAATTAATTTCTGGAATTTTAAATTTTTTTGCCAGGTAATCTCAGGATTCCATACGTGTTCTTGACAAATGGTTAGTTTCTAATTTGTAATTTTTCCACCTGGTATAATCCAAATTTTTGTTATTTTTTTTTAAATTAATTGTTTTAAATTTTTGGGTTTTTTGGTTGTGATAGGAGGTGGGATTAGTGAATCCAAAAGAGCCCTTGAGTTAAGTTCACTTTTAGGAGTGAAGATTTCACCTTTACAGGTATATTTTTGTTGAGGGTTTTCATAAATTTTTATAATTTTAACTCTTTTATCCAGATTTGTGTGCTTTTTACCTCTTATTTTTATGTAATTTTACCTTTTTGTTGATTGCGTGGTGTTGGATGCAGGTTTTACAGGGCCATGCACCTTTTAAGCAGTTACTAAACAGGTATGTAATATGATGCATATAAGTTGAGTTATGGGTCAGAAAGTAAATTCTTGCTGTACAAGTTTATACTGTTTTCTTTTGCGTTTGATCGAGTATTTGCAGTGCTGGCATGGTTCATTTTTCTGTGCTACATGTATATTCCTCTAGGCTAAATGTGGGAATGAATAGTTATACATGGTGCAAATCAACTTGAATTATGCATCTAAGCGTATGCATTTCAACCTTACTAAATGGTCAATAGACTCACTACGTAATTTGTCTGAGAGAGAGATTTCCTTATATTCTTCTGTTCAAGATTTTCGGTTTGTGTTGTGCAGATTTGAGAATGAACTCATTGTTCGCTTTCTGTCCAAAACTAAGTATTTCACGGTACAAAACCAGAAACTTGAACGGACATCCATTGCAAGCATATCCCCTGATCATGAAATTCCATAGGAACAAGTTTTTCAGTAAAATCCCACAAAAAAACTGATGCGCTTGGGGCATTTTACCGCAAAATCTCTCTGGCTTTAATTCTTTGTTGTTTTATCCTTTCTGTGTGAGATTCTATCTTATTTTTTATAATCTCTGCATTCTTATTCATGTGCTTATAACAACCATTTATTGATTATTATTTTTCTTGCAGTTCCAAGCTTTTGATGAATTTCAGATGGTTGCGATTTATTAGTTAAAGTTACTTCTTGCTTCCTGTTTGGGTTAATATTTAATATTGGGCTTTATATTAGTGAGGCCCAAGGATGCCAAAGTGATAGGACTTTAGGTAGGAACTTGCATCCAAAATCCCATGTTGTTTGACAATTGCATATCGATTTTGGCATGAATGTTGGGGATGAGGTATATATCTTAAACCAGATTACTTAATTATAGTTAAATTAACTTTTTTTTTCTTTTTCTGTTATGTAGCTGAAGCAGCTAAAGTTGAGTGTTTTAATCGGTTGTATATATCACCCAGTTTACCTGTTCCTACTGCTGCTCAACAGGGACGAGTTTCACAGCAGGTGAGTGAAAAATCTGGGTTCTTAATTTTCTATTTTCTGATTGAAATTTGATGGTATATCTGATTCAATTGGAAGACTAAGCTAAAAGTACAAGTGGTATTTTTTGGTTAATTTGTTGGTTTTTTTGATGGCTCTTCTGGGTTGTTGTTAATTGTATGTTTTATGATTGAATTTGGCATCAATTTATCCAATGGATTAATGAGCTAAAACTACAAGTGGGGTTGTTTTGATTTTTGGGTTGTTTAATTTTCTGTTATTTAATTATGAGAAAATAAGGATTTGAACATGTTAATTAGCTAAGAATTAGTTTACATTGGACAATATATATGATTTTGGATTCGTGTTGGTGTAGCTAGGGACAATTATATATGTGGATGGATGTTGGGTTGGAAGGTCTACTCATAAAGAAGAACAAATCTAATGGTAGAGTGAAACTGAAAAGCAGCCAAACTTAAATTGCAATTTGCCAAAGAGCACGATTGGCCCTTTGTTTTAAAATTTTCATACTTCTCATTCTTATGTACCCTTATGTATCGGTAACGTGTATTCAACTTTAAAACTTTATCCGAAACCATTTGGTGGGTGTTTGGAATTTTGGAATTAGATTTTCAATTTGGTTTGTGAATTGCTAACTTTATCAACTCCTCTTGCTTAGCCTCAATTATTTCAGTTGGCATTGGTTGCAGACCCATTTGTTGAGGCTCGAAGAAAAAGGAAGGGGGGAAAGTGTATTCTTGCCATAGATTTTCTGTTGGGAGTGAGCATTGAAGAAAAGGGAAGGTGATAACAGCGGAAGAGGTGGCTTTTTGCTTTTGGCCTTTTGTTTTCTTCATTTTGCTTAATGTTGAGACTTGAGAAAATAACTTCTAATGTTGAACCCCAATTCGAGAAGATAATGTGAAGAAAAGAAATATTCGTAATTGTTATTATGTCCAAGATCAAACCAATTATGAACAATTGCTGTCCTCTAACAAAAAAAATTTTGACCGATGTTTAGTTATTCATAATCTTCTTCGTAATCTCAAATATCCATGTAGTCCAAAATCATCCCTAAACACCAGCGGGGTTCGAGAAGGATTTTGAATACCATAACAGTTATTCATAATTATGATTTTGTTAAGGAACCTTGCGTGCATGCATTGTTTTTGTTTTTTTTTTTAATCCATTTGAACCAAATCATCCCATCCCCATTTGCACCCCAACGACCAACAAAGCACCCCAAAATTTCTTAAGCTGTGTTGATCACAAATTATTGAAGATCATATCCTTAAACTAATGAACCAAAATTACTAATAAACATAATAAGAAACCAAAATTACTAAAATTTTAAGGATATCATAACATTTTAGAGCTTATATGTGCATTGTTGAGTTATTAGAGCAAACTAATAAATATAATGAACCTACATTGAATACAAATTCTTCTTTGTCATGTGGTAGTTTTTTAGCCTCTTATTACGGGTTACACATTTCTAAAAACTTTTTATATTATGTCCAGCCCACATCCGTCATTTATGATAGGGTTTAGGGGTATTAAAAAAGTTTAAAATTCTACTCATCCAGTTGACATAAAAATTAAAACTCTATAAACAATGCTAATTTATAAAAGAAAAAAACATGAAAGCTAAATCATATCCAAGTCCTAACACCAACCGAGAAGTGTATATAAGCCCGTCATTTCCTTGCACTAATACTTATTACACTTCAAAAGTATTTTGTGATCATTTTATTTTGTTCTTTTGTATTATAGTGATGTGTAGATAAATGTTTTTTCTTCTTCTGTTCATAGGCATCTACGTAGACTTTTTCGTATTTATGGAATGTCACAGAATTTGTATTCAATTTAGGTTCATTTATTTTTAAATTTTTTAGATAAATTTTTCCATGGAGCGTGGCCAAAGTCGTGCAAGACAATGGCGTCAATCATTGAGTCCTGAAGAACATCAAAGTGGGGCCCTACCTCGACCACCGTCCCCCTGTCTCTGGCCTCGAAAGCCACCAGTCCATCTACCTCCTCGTCCCTGACCCGTGGCGCTGAAACCACCACTAGAAGAACTAGAGCTGTTACCACCCCTCTTAAAGTTTTGAGTCTGACGAGGCCCGAGCGATGCCTGACCTTTACCTTTGTCGTCCTTCTTCTGATACCAAACTGACACACCCCAACCGGGATCGGGGCATGCTGGCCGCCACGTGGAAGTGACGTAGCCATGTGCACAGTGCGGAAGCTAGGAACAGTAGTAGAAAAGGGCGAATAATTTAAAACTAGCAACAATAGAGTAATAGGATATGTGCTAACGTAGGTAAAACACTGAATTCAGAGCCTAAGGCATACAGCAGCCCAAAAAAAAAATGTTACGACAATAGTGCGCCCGTAGGCGACCCTACATAGGTGAAGGTCTGTCAGAATGCCGGAACGTCCCTGGGGAAACCACCGAACCCGCTAAGCTACTAGAACCTGGAGGGGTGCAAAAACAAAAGCGTGAGTGGGCAAAACAAATCTCTTAGAAAACCATTTCATAAAACATAATATAACCCCTCGCCGTAAAACCTGTATACTTCCCAGAAAATAAACATAAAAACGTAGGTATAAATATGCCAAGTATAATCAAGGGTATGCCAACATGCTCAAGGCCCCAATCATACATGCAAATGCTCAGGTATGTATAGCACATCAATAGAATAATAAAATGACAGCCGGAGTCCCCTAAGTGACCTGTACGGCTGAACCTAGAGCTCAATTTACCACTCATTCCCTAAACCTGCCCACGAGTCGGAACCACCTATAGTGGTCTGTACGACAAGCCTGGGTGTAAAACATATAACGCTCTAGTGCTACGATCACGTGAAGGCTGTGCGAATAATCGCGGGTCACCTACGAGTCGGAACCACCTATAGTGGTCTGTACGACAGGACTGTGCACCTAACTTGGATTCAAGCTGAGCGTGTGGTGCGGGAGGTGAACAACACGTGAAAGACTGTGCCCTACTCTGGGCGGGAGCACTAACACCGGGGGTGCAGGTTATGAGCTCTCTAAGCACCTCGAACCACTATTTAATGCGAATGTAAAACAACGCTTACCTGGCACTTACCTAGGCCGCCGCAGCACCAACATATATGTAAATGACGTAAGAATAAATATATAAACCAACTCATATGCCACTAATCATGCATAGTCATCAATCATATAAAATTACGGCGTAAAACAAGGTATTTATACTAATTTCTGGGAAATAACATGTATATAGGTATATACGGAAAACAAAAGCCCACTCACTGGTAAGTAGAAGGGTCGTAGCCCCCCTGCCTCGAATGTGCACGCTCGTCCTCGGGATACGTGTCACCTATATGCGAATTAACTACAAAAACGTTAACTTTAAAGCACATAACCGTCCGTTCAAAATAACTTCTCATACATTGCTCAAAATGGACAAATGAATATACCAACGTGACCTACACAACCTCACGATCACAACCATATTTTTAAAATAATTTTTGGACACGTCACGCGCCCCCACGCGCCTGGAATGGCACGGGTCCACGCGCCCCCACGCGCGGCCACGTGCCGTTTGACTGACGAAATATTCCGTTTGACTGACGGAATATTCCCTAACTGACGCCGTTAGTCCTGTAGGAATATTCCGTTAAAACTTAACGGAATATTCCCCTGTCCTCTCCGGCGAGCCGCCGCCGCCGTCGCCGGAAAACTGGAAATTTTTCAAACTTTGTTTTCTCACTCGTTTTTCAACCATTTTTCACGTTCTTTATACCAAAATGAAGCTTAGGACTAGTAGAATCACGTTAGACTACTTTTAAGGCCTAAAAATCAAGGAATCTCACCTGCAACAACGATCTAAGTTCGGCCAACTTTGGAACTAAGCTTTCCCACAAAAATTTGATGGCTACTAAGTAAGCACACAAATTAAAACCCTCTTGTGACAATTGTAGTATATGAATAAGTAGGGATCGTTCTTAACCGGGGATTAGGAGGGATTGCAAAATCACTTGGAAACTGACTCAAAAACGTAAAATAAAGTTTTAAAACACTAAACTAGACTCAAAGAATGCAAAGCTAAACAATAAAACACTAAAACAAATCAAAAGACTCAAAGAATACAAAACGCTTATAAACACTAACTAAGACACTTTCTAACTAAATTGGACACTAAAGTAAAGGGGGATTGAGGTTTTGACGAAATTAAACTAAATGCAACGATTGTAATTTAAAGGCAGAATGTAAAAATGAATGTGATGAAAATATGGATGAATGCTAGCTAGAAGGTTCTTCTCCACACATGTTACACTTGCATACAAAATGATTTTCAGTTGGTCTTTCGATAAATTATAAATACTCAACGCCCCAAGTTAACTGTGAATTGCACTAATTAACCATCAGTTTTTCCACAAGTTATTAAGTTGGATGATTGCATACGACAACCCAAAACATTCCCTACAAGTTCCCTACATGAATTGCATAATAGAGATACAAGCAAGAATCATTAAGTTCTATGAAAAACATAAGCATTGACGAAGCATTCGTTACTATGAATTGCATGAAACTTATGCTAAGAATTCATTCAACGCGATCGTTTTCAAGCGACCTTCACTACTTGTGATTATAAGATTGTAACTATTAGGTGAAACTCCCTCATAATCTAGCATCATATTCATGCATGAAAACTAAGCGTGCACTCTCAATCAACATACACAAATAAGTTATCAATCAAATAGATGAACGAATTGAATCCACAACTTATGAAATTCCAACCAAAAGTAATCAATTCATATTGCAAGCATAAACATGGTTTCGAATCACCCCCTAGCTAACTAGGGGGATTTAGCCTCTCATGTTCGCAACAAGAAAAATACAATTGAATTTAAACATAAAGAACAAAGGATTGATTACACCTAGAACGCACGATGAATCCACTTGAATTTCTGCGCGTCTAAGCCCTCCTTCTTCTTCTCCTTGCTGCGACAGTGAAAGTCTAGGTTTATTTGGGTGATTTTTCTGACTTTGGGATGGATTTAGGGTGTTAAAGTGGGCAGCAATGGTGGTGGAATGGTGTGGGAAAATTGCGGCTGTGAAGGGGAATGGTGGAGATGGCACGGCTGGACAGAATTTGGGAAATGGATGCTGCGGCTGGATGGATGAAAGGCACGGTTTGAATGGGTTTTTGGTGACTGCGGCTTGATGGGGAAAAATGAAAAAGGTTCCGGCTGATTATGAATGAATGGAATTTAAAGTGCGGCTGATTAGAATATGGAGGGGGGACTGCACTGCAGGTTGGGAAAAAATGCCGCTAGAATAGACAAAACACGGCTGGCAAAAGAATTATGCGGCTGGAAGCTTTTATGAGGTGTGGTGGCTGATTAGTGTATTAGGTTTAATATGGATGGTGTGGACGGATTAAATGGGCTTAGGGTGAAGTGTAATGCACGGGTTATGTGTGTCCTTAGGTCAATGGCTGAATGGTTTTTCTTTTAAATCAATGAATGGCAGCGGCTAAAAGACAAAGACCATGGGATTTGCGGCTAGGTTCAAAATAAAAGATAAAAGGGTTAATGGCTGAATAATCAATGGCATCAATGGCTGCATGATTTTTTTGGGAGAATGAATTAGGGTGCGGCTAATTGGTGGAAACCCTAGGGTTTTAGAAATTTAAACCCTAGTTTATTTTTATTAACTAAAATAAATTCAAAGGCTTCTAGAATTAGGAAATAAAATCAGAAATTAAAGAGGGAAAGATTAAAGGTGCGGCTAGGGCCTTGGTTTTGTGTCCTAAAGCGCCTACAAGGACTTCAAAGTGGCTAGAAAATGCGGACGTTTAAGATTAGGAAAGGTTACCAAAACGGGAAACTTAGGGTCAACTTTCCTAAAATAGGAAGCCTTGTTTGAGTAGGATTCTTCGTTTTGGTAAGAAT